ATATCTGGTGCTTAGCATACTTATTTTAAATCTCTCCTGCCAAATGGCATTAGAAATTGTGTAAAATTGGTGACTTGTGGCTGAAGGCTGATCTTAGAAGGCTTGAAAGCCATAGGAATTAGGCTTGAGGGGCTGCAGTTCACTCTGTTGTGGAAGAATGGCAAAAAGAGAAACTGCTCTAATAGAAAAAGGAAAGGTATAAAACAAACATGTAGACACCAGACTAACAGATGTTGATAAGAGTCACCAGGCAGAGGAATCTATCTGAACCATGTGGTCAGAAAAAGGGAGCAAGAAAGAGACAACTTTCTGGAAAGAGAGGTAATTGCTCAATTCACACATTATGGTGATTATTAAATAAACCACAATTGGCTGGGTTGGTATAGCATACTAACCCATCAATCAAAGTTTCCAAACTACAGAGGTTGGTTTCATATAACACACTAAATAAAAATCCAAACAAAGCATAGACATAATTGTTTTGAGAGCTAGGATCAAGTATAAAATTGTAGAATTCAATAACAATAGAAATATAAAATTAATTTTAAAAATTCTAAGTAAAATCACACAATTGTAGCAATAGCAGGTAATACAACTTTAGTAGCGTTAAATCCTTTGTTCGCATGCGAATGATGAAGACACATGGTAACTATTAACTACTCTTTATTCTCCTTCTCCAACAACCAAGCAAAAAGCGAAAGGCACGCAGGCCTTTTTATATGGCCAGAAACCCGGACAATGTCAACCAAAAGAACAGAGCGTTTTCGCGCCTTGCGCATGGGCACAAGGCTGGCACCGCTCTGTCTGGTCCCGGGCAGTTTTGGAATGCCGGAGACCAATGCAACGTCCTGAGCCTGCTTTTGTAGGCTCAGGACACAACAAGTAGCAGGATTTAGTCATCATTGCTGAAGAATCAGTTTCCACAGAATGATTTTTCATTGCTATTTCAGCGACATGGAAGTAGCAAGTTTTGTGCTGCTGAGAACATAGATAACCTAACCAGATCAAAAACCTCAGTAGAAAAGACACATGCAACTCAAGTTTATCCACATGCTTACATAATTTAAATATAAAGATGCATGGAAATCAAATTGTATGTGAGCATCATATGAATTTTAAGAAATGGGAAGTATGATATTAATAAAAGCAACTTTCAAGATGTGGTGGGACTGCAACTGAGAAATTCTAATGACAATGGCCAAAATTTCCAGCTTCTACTGCTTTTAGGCAGATGATCTGGTTTTACATATGTGTGCATAATACACACACACACACATGCAAAATTATATGTTCAAAATAAAGCACATTCCTCCAGCTGATTATTAATTTTCTCATCATGTCTCTGGGCATCTTATGAATCCAACACTCTTTGGGGGAAAATGTAGGAGGCATTTGGCCATTTATCAATTTAAAATGTTAAAAGAAAACAAAGATTGCTATGAGTGTCTAGCAGAAGTGGAGCAGAGGGGAGAGAAGAGATTAGTGTAAAAGTCAAGTAGTAAGAGTGGAGAAAATTGGAGGAGATGATCCAGGGAGTTGGAGGAAAGATTGCTAAGGAAAAGAAAGAGTGAGGCGGTGGGGAAAAAATATTTGTACATGACACATTGAACCACAAATTAACCACAATCATATTTACTCTGGTATATTGTATGAATCCAGTCAGTGCTGTTAATTCAGGGTATGGTGTGAATCCAGGGAATAGATTTAATTGAATAAAGCATGAATGCATATGTTGTTGCAACACAACAAATTACCAAAGTGGAGAAAGGGAAAGTGATGCAACACAGGATAGAAAGGAAGGAGGAAAAATGAAAAGTGTGAGAAAACAGCAGAAGACTGGAAAGTCATAGTGTCTGGGTCATTATAGAACAGCAATTTCAGAGAAAGAGAAAATGAGATGCTGGGGTACTCAGACAGTAAACAAAGAAGAAAGAATTTTGAAGCTATGCACACATGTTGTTGTTGTTGTTAATTGCGAAGTCGTGTCCGACCCATCGCGACCCCATGGACAATGTTCCTCCAGGTCTTCCTGTCCTCTACCATCTTCTGGAGTCCATTTAAGTTCACACCTACTGCTTCAGTGACTCCATCCAGCCATCTCATTCTCTGTCGTCCCCTTCTATTGCCGTCAATCTTTCCCAGCATTAGGCCCTTCTCCAGTGAGTCCTTCCTTTTCATTAGGTGGCCAAAGTATTTGAGTTTCAACTTCAGGATCTGGCCTTCAAAAGAGCAGTCGGGGTTGATCTCTTCTAGGACTGACCGGTTTGATCACCTTGCAGTCCAAGGGACTCGCAGGAGTCTTCTGCAACACCATAGTTCAAAGGCCTCAATTCTTTGGCGCTCAACCTTTCTTATGGTCCAACTTTCACAGCCATACGTTGCAACCGGGAAAACCATGGCCTGGACTATACGCACTTTTGTTGGCAGGGTGATGTCTCTGCTTTTTAGTATGCTGTCTAGATTTGCCATAGCTTTCCTCCCCAGGAGCAAGCGTCTTTTAATTTCTTGGCTGCAGTCCCCATCTGAGGTGATCTTGGAGCCCAGAAAAATAAAATCTGTCACTACCTCCATTTCTTCCCCATCTATTTGCCAGGAATTGAGAGGGCCGGATGCCATGATTTTGGTTTTCTTAATGTTGAGTTTGAAGCCAACTTTTGCACTCTCCTTCTTCACCCGCATCAAGAGGCTCTTTAGTTCTTCTTCACTTTCTGCCATTAGCGTGGTATCATGTGCACACATACATGCACATATATACATAGAGTAAAAGATTCCTCCAAACCTCCATCACGTCATCTGAAGAAACCAAATTATTCAGCAAACATATAAGTACTAAATATTGTGCAAAAAAATAAAGAAAATGTTTCAACTCTAATCACCAAGAGAGTACGTAAGTACATAGAAATCAGAACCACGGTCTATAAACTTGCCTTCCTCAGAAATATCATAGGAATCTCAAAGAGATTCTGGAATTCCAGGTTCCGCAAATCTTGGCGGAGGGAAGAGAGGAAAACTGAGCAAGTTTGAGCAAGAAAACAAACAATCAGATGGCAGAAAGCTGTTTGTTTTCCACACAAAGCTGACAGTGGAACCAAGGAAGTTCTTAATAAATACTGGAAACTTGGGATCAAAACAGAGGGTGTTGCCACATCCTGGGTGGATTGCCCCCGCCCATCAAGGACCTGAAGGGAATTAATCTCTTCCTGTTTTTTGGCAACACCTGTCTAGCTTGTCCTGCCAATACATACAGAGGATTTAATGGAATGTTGCTTGGGAAGTTCTTGATAGGGCTTGAAGAACAGGAAATAGCCTAAATTATGAACTGTCCCATTCTTCCTCTGGGCCATAGAGAATATGCATCTAGACATCTCACTTATGCATAGGGTGCTTAACATCTACAAAAAGTCTCTATTTTTTCCATCTACTTTTTTTGGTTTTTGCAAAGCTTAAATAGTTAACAATCTCTGATCATCCCTTTGAGTAACTAACAATATAGCTATCCTGTTCATGTATGTCATTTAAAAGTGGAAGATGTGAAGTCCTTTGTGATTGAATTAAAAGTAGTTCAGATTCCCCTTAAAAGAAAGTTAATGTAATACAGAAGCAATTTATTTTTCAATATACACAAGAATATCCTTAAATTTAAAGCAAGATAGTCAATTGAAATCAAGATTTGGCAAACCATTTTTTCTTTGATATGTGTTTACACTTAGAAATATAACTAGTGCTTTTTTCCATGTTCTATTTTAAAAGAGTAAAGATAGATGGTGTTCCTGGCACCCTATAACAAAAGGAAGACAACAGTGGAATGACATATAAGGAATAAATATTACAGAAGTCACAGAAACAAAAACATATTCAGGGTGATCATAAAAATAGGGGCTGGGAACATGGAAGAGAGGATGTATTGGACTTGTGTCCTGCCATAAGTTTCTTAGAGGCATTTTCTTGTCCTTCTGTAGGATCTTGGATTAGATGCAGTTTTCATTCAATTCAGAAATGTTCTTAGTATGTGCCTCCTGGTTGATTGAATACTCTACAGCAGGCATGTCAAACTCGCAATGTCATGTGATGTCGCACAATGAATTGTGACTTTTCCCCCATTGCTGGCAATGGGGTGGGGGCTGTTTCAATGTGACGCATCCGGCCCGCAGGCCAGCAATTTGACATGCCTGCTCTACAGTTAAAATGTCTCTCCAGACTTGAGACCCTAGCTTGCATACATTATGCAACATGTGGTATAAGTACAAATATGGCTAATATCCATCATACAATTTCTCCAGCTCATTAAAATTGTTACTATATGTAAAAAGCTAGTGCATATGATCAGAGATGGGCCCATTGGGGATGACTGTAGCTTAGACTGTAAGTGAAATAAGTGGTACAAAGAAAGGAAGGAAAGAAGGAAGGAAGGAAGGAAGGAAGGAAGGAAGGAAGGAAGGAAGGAAGGAAAAGTTTGTATGCCTATGAATTTAAGAAAAAGAGAAAAGAATTTACATCTGATGAAAGGGGGCGTGATATTGAGAAGTTCATGAATACAGGAAGTGGATTTTAATTATAATTGAAAGAGTTCAAATGTCAAAAAACAGAACTGATCTTATTTAAATTGTTGTGTGGCCATATGTAAGCAGGAATCCATAGGTTAGTAATAGCTGTATATTATTATCTAGTGCAGTGATTTTTCAGCCTTGGGTATTTGAAGATCTGTGGACTGCAACTCCCAGAATTCTCCAGCCAGAAAGGTTGAGAAATACTACCTTAGTGACTAGCAATAATGAAATTGGGAGAAAGTCTGGGAGAAAAAAAATGCAACATTTGAAATTAATGTCATCCAAATTAAAGACCATTACAAAATCTCCCACCCTCTAACTTTCCCACAAACCCCCTCATTTCCGCCCTTCCAATTGTCAATGACGAAGCTCCATCCCACTCTCCTTGGGCCCCTCCTCCCCCTCCCGAACGCTCGTCGCGTCGTCTCCTTTAGTGTTTGGTGAGCGTGCGCTCAGCAGGCCCTGGTTGGCTCCTCCTGTTCGGCCTACGCGAAGGCATGCGCGTTGTGTGAAGGCCAATTCGCAGCTGCGCGGCCTGACTAGATCTCCGGGGCGGCAGACGCCGCGCAAGACGGGGAAGGAGAATGCGGCGAAGCGAGGAGATTGGCCCAGGGGCGTTCAGGCCGCTGTTACCTTTGATGCTGGTAGTGTTCCTGCGGGAGGCTGCAGGGGAAACTTGCGCCCCCGCCGCGCCTTGTTCTTGCCGGCGAGGTGTATTGGATTGCAGCCGCCTCCGCATGTCCGGTCGGAGCTTAGAACCAGGCCTGCTGCCGCCTTTGCCTCGCAGCATCACCGCGCTGTAAGTATTGCTCCTGTCGGTTCTCGGCGTCTTGCCTCTGTCCGTTTCTCAGCGGGTCTGGAAGGCTTCACCTGGTTGCTTCAGGGCCTAGCGGGGGACCTGGTAGGTGCTTCTCCTTCTCGGTAGCTGTAGATTTGCTCCCAAATTATGATTATTAAACGTTTTGTTTGCTAAGATCGCAGATATTTGCGTTCGTTGCTTTATCTGGACTGGGACACAAAGCGCGTTATATATAAAGAATCAGAGATGCTGGGTGGCTGGGTATCAAAACATCTGTCTAATTCTCTCTTCCCCTTATCCCTTCCCAATTCTTCTGTTAAGATTGCAGTTTGTAGTCTTTAAATTCATAGTGTTATGATCAACACACAGTATTTTAAAAGTTCCAGGGAGCAAGAGAAATCCTGCAAGGTAGTTTTCTGATAACTTGTGCAATTTGTCTCTTCAGATGACCTAGTTTCAGTAGGCTTGCTTGAACCTTATTGGGTATTAAAGTTTTGGTGGGGTATATTATTTTGGTTTGATGTTAAAATTTGCACTCTAATATTAAGACATCTATCAGATTTTTGAGAGCCAGTTTGGTCTAGGTATTAAGACTGAGGCCAATGAGATCCAAGTTCTAGTCCTGCATTAGCATTAATGATCTTGGGCCTTAATGATCTCAGCTTTAGGAAGATGACAATAGCAAACCACTTGTAGAAAAAGTTGCCAAGAAAATTGCATGGACTTATCCATGTATTTGCTAGAAGTCAAGACTAATTCAAAGCCACCATGCAAAACAAGGTTTCTAAAGCCCAGAATAAGGGAGAGTCTTCAGAATTATTTTGAGATGCATACAGAATTGTTGACAGTGAGCTCTCAAAAGTTCTGTCAATTGTGTACCCTACAAAATAAATCTCTAAGAAAATTGTACTGGTTTAGAATAATTTCATAAATTCTTTGCTTTTCATGTGAATTAGACCCATTTATTTAGTTCAAATAAAGAATAATGTTTCATTAAACTGAGCCACATTTGTCAGTTTGCTCTCTTTTTCCTGTTGCTTTGGAGTATTCCTCAATTCTGGTTTTGTTTTGTTTTGAGAATTCTAAATCAGAAATTGTCATCTGCAGTACCATCTGTCTATTTATGCTTATCTCCAGAAAATTAATGATTAAAGTTACAGAACTTTGAAAAAACTCATGTATATCTTCTGTAGTGATATTGATATGTCCATAAATTTCATTTATACACTCATTGTAAACCTCCAGCAAATGAAACCTGAGGTCATGGTACCTCAGCCTAGTATGTGACAGCTATGTAAGACAATTTTTTTTAGCAAAAGTATTAAAATAATTTTAAAAGCTTTTTTATTAAAAATCTGTGAAGTTATCAAATTCAGAATATTATATGCTGTATGGCTCAAAAAATACTGGCAGAGGTAATTCCCAAATACAGAAGTGACATTTGTTTTTGTTTTTTTAAAGTGCAGTTGAAGAGGGAGATAACTGGGTATAAAATTATGCATGGCTTGGAAAAATTCACAGATTTTTTTTTCTTTCTCTTTCCAGTACTCGAGCCTAATTAAACTAAGTTGAATTGTACAAGAGATGTGACAAGTAAAAGGAAATTAATCTTAATCACAATAAAATAATTTCCTTTCTCAGAATAAATTATGGTCATTAAGGCAATTTTAAAAGAAGATTTGACTAATTTATGGATTATAAGATTATAAGTGGCAGCTAATAATGATAGTTATACAGAAGTGTCCTTTCATATACTACACTAGCTGCTGGGTAGTGGTAATAGGCCAATCTTACGTTTGTAAGATTCCCATACTCATCCTTTTGGTAATTGTGGGAACAGAATGCTAGATTAAGCATTCGTTTTGTTCAATACAGAAGGGCTTGTTTGTAACTGACATTGATTGAGATGCTTCAATCTTACTAAATTCTTCCTAGACAGATTGGATAGATATGTGGAATATTATTTAATTACATCTTAGAGCGAGAAACTGGCTCAAGTTACAAGTTTTTCTTTTTTGAACTTTATTAATTATACATACTAACATTGGGTCAACCTGTTGCAATGGTTCATTGTTCAGTCTTCTCACATAAAGTATTCTCTTCATGGCTTCTGGTTCCTGAAAGACAAAGTTTTGGACAGTTCCTCATAGAATAGATTGTGTTCTTTTACAGAGTGCCATTACAAGCCTCCATATGCATGTTGTAGATTAATTTACTGTCATTTAAAACTTTCTCAAATGAGTCTTGGAAAATTGATATTAATCCTATGATTTATTGAGGAGTGGAATGGCTATCAAACAGGTTTAAGACTCTATTATTGATCAGTCTAGTTTTGTCATGGGTGGGATAGATTATGTGAAAAGTATTAACTTTATGAAGACAAAATATTAAGATAAGTAGAGCAGGGCAAAGTGATGCTGATTTACATATTTCTATTGCATTTATATGATAACAAATATGCAAATTATTTGTAAAATGTGATGGAATATACCTGTTTATTGGAATAGTATTTTGTGGAGAATGGTGACTGTTGGATCTGTGGCTGATTATAAGATAAGCTTGTTTCTGATCTTTCCTAATACTTTAATTATAAAAACTAGTTGGTCTACTGTTTAGTAGCCTCTTACTATACATAGTGGAGAAAGTCTGATGTTCCTGATGACTTACATAGAAACATTAATGCACTTTTGTTAGCATAATGAACCGAGGTGGCACAGCAGTTAGGGTGCAGTACTGCAGGCCACTTTAGCTGACTGTGTTCAGCAGGTCAGTAGTTCAAATCTCACTGGCTCAAGGTTGACTCAGCCTTCCATCCTTCCGAGGTAGGTAAAATGAGGACCCAGATTGTTGGGGGCAATGTAAATATATATATACATTGCTTACTGGTGCAAGCACTTAGAGAGTGCTTGCACTTAAAGCAGTATATAAGTCTCATAAATAAATAAATAAATAAATAAATAAATAATAGAAAGCTAGTTTACTATAGGGACTATTTTGATTCCACAGCTTATTCTACAACTTGGAGTTCTTAGATGCAAGTTCAAATAACAATTAGAATTAACCTTTTTTGGCTTTTGAGTTTAATCAAGATCAGCTGCCATTTAACTAAGTTAATTGGCTATTAGGTGATTTGAAATACATGAATATTATTCAAGTTGGAGACATTTGGGATGGTTATTCAACAATTTTCTAAACCTGTCAGACAAAGCAAAGGATGGGTGAAAGCAACTTTGTAATATTCAAAAAAGAACTTATTAACAGCAATTTAAAGATTAACATTTATTTCAGCTTAAGATTCATAGGTTTGAACTCAGCATGTCAAAATGCACAAAGTAATAGCCTTAGTTGGCAGATGATATCTCTATATTTACAGTGAGGGGAAAAATTATTTGCTCCCCGGTTGATTAGTCTATAATTTTAATGGTAGATTTATTTTACAATTATAGACTGATCATTTCTTTGTCAGTGGGCAAATGTACAAAATCATCAGATCAAATAACGTCTTCCCTAATTTTTCCCTATTTACGGTAGATAATTTAATGGGATTTGTGATTTTACCTAAATTTTTAAATTACTGAAAAAGCTTAAATTCTAATTATTTTTTTTATAAAGGCTATGATTATGAATACAAGAGATCACTTACTTAACTAGATTCATACTTATGAATATGAGATCTTGCAGCCTAACCATAACTGATTATTATTTATTTGATTTATAATCCTTTTTATTCGGAAAGTACTCAAATAGCTGCTTCTAAGTCTTATGAATTCAATAGACTTGGCTTCTATGTATGCACATAAAACTGCCCAATAACAAAGGAATTTTCTGTTGCTTTCATAATTGAATACATGTATTGAATTACTGCTAGATGTTTTTCAAGTTTAATTAGAATTGTTTAATTGAGAAAAAAACAAGTGCCATCCTTGCATATGATTCCAATTTTCAAAAAGTGTTAAAATAAGGGAACTATGTGGCAATTTGTTTTCCAACCTGTATAATAAATCTGTGACTTTGTCCTGTTCTGTAACTATATGTATACCAGGCATACTACAAGTGGAAATGAATGTTAAGCTTTTAGAAAAAAATACCGTGATGTGTATGATCTAGTATGTTGGAATGAGTCTTAGAAGTTTATCTTCTCACAATTGTATTTTTATCTGTGACTATGCATCTTGTATGTAATTGGTGATAAATCTGTTGAATAACATTTTAGAACTTAAATTTTACTTTTAAATGAGTAAGCACAAATAAGACTGCATGTATTCCAGTATAGGTACTTTCATTTGAATGATGATTTACTGTTATTTATGTACATGTGGTCCTCAGCTTACTATGGCATTGAGACTAGAATTGCCATCACTAAGTGACCTGGTCATAAATCATGATGTCACAGGACCACATTACTTACTGATGGCAATCCCAGTTGCCATTATTAAGCAAGGACTATGCAGGTTGTTAAAGCAAGGATCTCATCTCAACTTCCTGCCAGCTTCTCCATTGACTTTGCTTGTGGGAAACCAGCTGACAGTCATGATAAAGTGACTGAGGACCCATCATAGGTGCTCCTCATTCAGCGCAGTCATAACTTTGAAGCATTGCTGGATGAATGGACTTAACTGAAGGACTACTGTACAGCTAGGTAGAAGCACCTATCTAACTTGGATAACCTCATAAATACAGAGTAGGAGTAGGCCTGATAAATACTTAGATAAGAGACTGCCAGGATATTCCAATACTGTAAGCTAGATTGGAAAGTCAAATAAAAAAATCCCAGAAGCAGGCAATTTCTTTATTATTGCTAAGTAAAATATATAGATGTATCCATGAAATCATCATGAGTTGAACTCAGCTCAGAGGATACTTTACTTGTATATATTCATCAGTATTTAAATAAAAAGTGTCCTTTGTGTATATACTTTGAAACTTTTTGGAAGATCACATGTTAGATTGTACTATTTGGACTAAATCAACTTTGAGGAATAATTTTGTTCTGAAACTAC